CCACTGTGCCAGGTTTGGAACCAAAAAGTTGACACTAGAGCACGGTTCCTACCCTCAAGGTGCTCACTGTCTAGTTTGGGATCTTGGACAGATGGGGGAAATTTTATCTGACAATATATATTCACTGTAGGTTCCCGAACTACTTATCATAAGGCACTAAACCTGTAGGTCAATCCTTCTCTAAGCCTTAGACATACCCCAACCACAAGGACAATATTCCTCCCCATTGTCTGCATAAACCATAAACCATGATCATACTGGGCCTCTGAGTTGGAGGTTGGGATGTACAGCACCCTAGGAAGCAGTTTAAGGGAAGGGGGTGCCTTGTTCTCCCATTCCTTAGGCCACAGCATGCCTGCTTTACTGGGGCGCCCAGATTCCAGACCAGGAGCAAAGGAGCTGCAAGCCAGGCATCAGCCCTAGCGGAGCCGGTTACCTGTCTCGGGGAGCAGCCGAAGCGGAGCCGTCCAAGTCGAAGAGGCAGCTCTCTCTACGGGCAGGCTGCACGCCGCCAGCCCCAGCCTTTCCTCGCCCCTCCCTTGAGAGCCCTTCATTTCCTCCAAGGCCTGGCTGGGCTCAGAGGGAGATTCACCCCGACATGAAAAGCCAATGGCTGAGGCTGCTTGCAGAGCAATCTCTATGCCCTGCAGGCGTGTGCCTCAGCAAAACCACAAATTGAGATTTGCTTTAGATTCCCTAGCTTGTTTGGAAATTCTTTCCCCCTTTCTGCACCCCCCCCCCCCCCCCCCCCCCGTGCCTACCCTAGGGTCCCTCCTTAACTACTCCTGCACTCCTGCTGACAAACTAATTCATATCAAAAAGGTAATGACTCAGTGGGCCATCTTTCATGGGGTTATTTACATTTTTATTTTATTTTATTTTATTTTATTTTATTTTATTTTATTTTATTTTTTTAATCCTCACCCGAGGACATTTTTGCATTTATCTTCAGATAGAGCAGGAGGGAGAGAGGGAGGAAAAGAGAGAGAGAAACATCGATATGAGAGAGACACGTTGACTGGCTGCCACCCACGGGACCTCAACTGGGGCCAGGGACAAACTGCAACCGAGGTACGTGCCCTTAGTGGGAACCGAACCCGGCTCTCTCTGGTCCGTGGGTTGACGCTCTAACCGCTGAGCCAAACCGGCCAGGGCGATATTTACCTTTTTAAAGACAAAATAATAATCAAAAGAATGGCTAAAATTTATTGAGTGCTTACTATGTTCTAGGCACTGTGCTAAGAGGGTAAGGCCTCCCTCCAGGGAATGACTGAGCAATGACACTAGCTGGAACAGAGCTGCTTTTACAATCATCCGTAGTATACACTTGAATGCAACCCTACCTATGAGGAATACTGTCAGTGGAGACTATAGGAGGCCTGCACTGTTTAAAAATAATAATAAATTTTATAGCCGTCACCTTTGTTGAGGGTGGAGGGTACAGGGATTTTTTGTTTTCATTCATTCACTCATTCATTCAACAAGATTATCGAGTGCCTACTCCAAGCCAGTCACTGGCGTGCTGGGGACACGGCCATAATCCAGACTTCCAGAGATCTGCTTTCAGAGCTCACAGCGAGGGCAGACAGGTAGTAAAGAAACAGTAAGAGGGATTTATAGCCCTGGCCAGTTGGCTCAGCAGTTAGAGCATAGGCCCGTGGACTGAAGGGTTGTGGGTTTGATTCCCGGTCAAGGGCATGTACCGGGGTTGCAAGTTTAATGCCCGGCCCCATTCAGGGTCATGCAGGAGGCAACCTATTAATGTGCCTCTCTCACATCAGTGTTTCTCTCCCTCTCTCCCTCCTTCCCACTCTATCTAAAAATCAATGGAAAAATATCCTTGAGTGAGGATTAACAAAAAGAGAGAATTATAGATGTGCTCATCCCTGCAAACAAAATGGACAAGGGCATGTGATCCAGAAAAACTGGGAAGTGGGGTGGGGACTCCTTACATCTAGGCGGTACATTGGTGTTCCTACACCACCGCCATGCTCTTTGTCGGCCTCTTCTGCTCATTTTTTCTCTTCCACCCACCTGTGGGCCTCAGAGCACAGCCCTGGGGTTTGTGCTCATCTACATCCCTGCACTTTTCCTCAGTGCTCTTGGCCAGTGTCCTAGCTTCAGCCCCCTTCTATATGCTGATGTCTCCCAAATTTATATCTCCATCCCCAGTAAGTCTTTTGAGAGCACCAGACCAACAGACTCAGGTGTCAATCTGATAGGGCCTCTGGAAAGTCTACCAGCGTCTAAGAATTAATGTGCCTAAAACACACCTCAGTTTTCCACCTCCCTCAACCTGTTTCCTCTGATTCTCTGCTCAGTAAGCAACACCACTCTGCACCCAAGAGCTCAAATCAAAAGTTTGAATTTTTATTTTTTCTTTATTTTAAAAAAATTTTGAATAGGTCATTGTGATCGGCAGGATAGCCCCCATAGATGTCCAGATCCTAATCTCTGGATTTGGTGACTGTGTTACCTTACATGGCTAAAAGGATTTTGCAAATGGTATTAAAGTCCTTGAGAGCTGCAGATTATCCTGGGTTTACTGGGTTGGTCAAATCTAATCACAGGAGTCCTTAAAAGCTGACAACCTGTCCAGACTGTGGTCAGATTTGACTATGGAAGAATGGTCAGAGACCTGCAACATTTCTGGATTTAATGATGGAGGAATGGGCCATGAGCCAAGGAATATTGGCAGCCCCTAGAAGTTAGAAAAAGCAAAGCAACAGATTTTCCTATAGAACCTCCAGAAAGGAGCACAGCTCTGCTGACACCTTGATTTTAATGCAGTGAGACCCAGGTCAAATTTCTAACTTACAGAACTATAAGATAACAAATTGCGCTGTTTTAACCACTGTGTTTGTGATAATTTGGGATAGCAGCAATAGAAAATTAATAAAGTAATATATCACATGATTCAAAATTCAAAAAGTACAAAATGACACACAATGACAAGCTTCCTCTCCCCCTGCCCCCACCCCCTAATTTCCCTCCCAAAACATACCCTCTGCTACCAGTTTATTGGTATAACCTTCCAGAGATATGTTATGCTATATAAGTGAATGAGACTATATATATTTTCTTCCTTTTATTTTATACAAATGGTAGCATATTGTATATACTGCTATTCTTTTTTTTTTTTTTTTAACCCAACAATATATACTAGAGGATTTCTTTGGAGCATTTTTATTGTTTTATTATAGTGTGAACAAAAAATTTAAAAAAAATAAAAAGGGAGGGGTTCTATGGAAAGTAAACTCAGGGTGATCTGATTATAAATTCCTAAATAGACAGGTCAAGGTCCTGTCCCAGGCCTATAACTTCTTTAGTAAAAGGTTTATCTTTGCCTTAAGTAAGCCCTGTCCATTGTTTCTGTGCACCTTTGAAATGCCTCCTTTCAGACCCCAAAGAAAAACTACCCTCGAGAGAGCACAGGATCTTGTCAACTATCCTATAACCCAATCCCCACCTTGTTTTCTCTGACCTACAGATAATCTTCCTTGTGTTCTCTCTTTAATTCCAGATGCATAAAATAAGCTGCAAACTGTCATTCTGAGAAGCAATTTCTCAGTCTGCTGAGATCTTGCTTCCAGGAGTATTCTGTTTGGCTCAAATAAACCATGGCCATCTCACTGTTGGTACCAGGAAACCGATTTCCTTGTATTAAGTGCACTTCATGTATTCTAATAAAACGACTTTCCAGAAAGTGAAATTTGTTATGTTCTGGCTTTTAAAAGGTGAAATATATTCTCCAAAGAGGACACACAAATGGCCAGGAGACATAAAAAAAAAAATGCTCAACATCACTAATCATCAGAGAGATGCAAATTAAAACGACTATGCGGTATCATCTCACACCTGCCAGAATGGCTGCCATCAACAAATCATAAAACAGCAAGTGCTGGTGAGGGTGTGGAGAAAAGGGGACTCTAGCACACTGCTGGTAGGAATGCAGACTATGAAAAACAATATGGTGCTTCCTTAAAAATGAAATTGCCATTTGATTCCACTTCTAGGAATATACCCTAAGAAGCCTGAAACACCAATCAGAAAGAATATATGCACACCTATGTTCATAGCAACGCTATTTACAATAACTAAGATCTGGAAATAGCCCAAGTGTCCATCAGTAGGTGAGTGGATAAAAAAAAGCTGTGGTACATTTACACAATGGAATACTATGCAGCTGTAAGAAATAAAGATCTCTTACCCTTTGAGACAACATGGAGGGACCTGGAGAGTATTATGCTGAGTGAAATAAGCCAGACAGAAAAAAAAAAGTACTACGTGATCTCATTTATTTATGGTTTATCATGAACAAAACAAGCTGTCGATCAAAACAGATTCAGAGTCAAGGAAGTAGGGAACAGACTGATAAACCTCAGAGGGATCGGGGTGAGGAGGGTGGGGCTGGTAGTAAGAGATAAACCAAAGAACTTTCATGCATATATGTACAACCAATGGACATTAGTTTGGGGAAAGCAGGAGGGGGAGGAAGGGGGCAATGGGGGAAAAAGGTGGGACATCTGTAATACTTTCAACAATAAAAAAAAAGTGAAATATAAGTAAATTTCCTAATTTATCAAAAATAAATAAAAATTCTCTACAAGTTTGTGCATTGTGATGTTGACAATGTTTCTACAGCAATGCATGCACGGTACTGTAATTATTTAGCCAGTCTCTTCCTGATGTCTATTTCCAAGTGTTATCAAACCCAAGTTCGTATGCTCAGCATTTTAAAAGGCCAAAACTCAAAATGTCAGAGTTTGGAGTAAGGAAATGTTTATTGGTGGAGAAGGTGCCAACCAAGAAGATGGGAGACCTAATAGTGGCTCAGACCCATCTTGCTCAGTGGACTAGGTCAAGGGCTTTTAAGGGGTTAGGGGGAACACGTTTACAGAAGCATTGGTGGAGCAAATTTCAATTGGGGAACCTTGGAACTTGGCCATTTACGGTAAAGGGCGTCAACACCAGATCTTCTTGGACAACGGATCCCTCACCTCTGAAGGTTTCCAGTGTTCAAGTTCTGGTTATACCCCTGTTCTTTGGTTCCGTGGGGGGGCTGGGATGGGGGGTGGGAAGACTTTAGTTCCAGGTGCGGCTGGAAGTCAGAGTTCTCTTTTCTGCGCATGTTTCTGTTGCATGACTTGCAGTTTTGTTCCGTTGTCTCTGAAAAGCAACTCATTATCTTGTTAAAGAGCTGGTTCTGCGGTTACAGGACTTTCCTATCACAGACAATGCTCAATGGCTAAATAACCTTGAACCAGCAGCATTTTTCACAGGACTGTTTCTGTGGGACAAATTCAGGAGTTGTCCTTGATTCTCCCTTTCCTTCCTCCCCATCCAATTCAGTACCCTGTCCTGTGGGTTCTAGCTCCAAAACAAACCTCAGCCCACCACCTTCTTTCCTAGTACTCCACCTCCACTCATTCCAAGTCCCCACCATCTCTTTCTGGGGCCAGACCAGTGGACACGTCCATGTGAGAGGCTGGTGTGGATGAGACAGGCCAGTGAGCCAGGACAAGTGGAATAGGGAAACTGAGACAGACAGCTGAACACACTGAAGGAGCAATTTCCAGCAGATACAGAAGGTCACCTCCCTAGAGACAACATCAAGGTCTCCGTTGTATGTCAGCTCCAGACCCAGAAGAGCAGCAAAACCAGGTGGGCGACACCAGGACCAGCTGCAATGACTAACAACCCCCTGCTCTGACAATGACCCATCAGTGAGGACCATGACCTGAAGGAGCACACCTAGAAACTGATGAATGTTCTATTGAAACTCTGCTGAGAGCTCCCCTAAGATTCCCGCCTACAAGAGAGAAATAAAAGCCTCAAGACAAAGGCCCCAGTTGGAGCTCTCCTTCCCAGGAGCGTGCCCCTCCTCATGTCTTCCCCCACAGGCAGCACCTCCTAGACTCTAAGGGACCCCGCAAGCCTTGCAACCGGGGCAGCAATGGGCAGTGGCAGCTCATCCCAGGCAAACCCCCTGAACCTGTCCCCAAGGCCCCTTTTCTGACTCCTTAGTCAGCCAAAGCAGACCAGCCTGGGTTCATTCCCCATCCTTTCTTGTTTCACTGTCCCCGGCTTTAATGTGTCCTCTAAAATTCACCTGGACTCATGTTGTAAAACTTCTCCTGCACGAAGTCAAGAAGCCACACACGACCAGCCCAGCCCGAGGCAGACCTGTTCAGGGCCAGGTCCCCTTTCTGGTAACATGGAGGGCCTCAGCTTTCTGTCTTTGCGCCTTGCCCTTTGGGGGAAGAGCTTTCTCGGGGCCTTAGATTTCACATTTTTGCAGTAGGATCTATGAGACCAGGCATCCTGATTTTTCTGTAAATAAATCATGGTGTTTGCCAAGTCTTTAGTGATGGGGCTTCATTTGGAGGCTCTCAGATAAATGAAGCTTGTTAAACCTGGAGGGAAGACCAGACAAGTACTTTGGTGCCTGGGAATGGCCATGATCTTAACTGCATCGTCAGTACGTGTTTTCCTCCTGTGGTTTCCAAGGCGTTTAACGGAGCAGGAACAAGACAGGAGTTTTTAGACATGGAGACAAATTCACTTTCTTTTTTTCTCTCCAATTTTTATTAATTTATTTTTTTTACAGATGTTTCTCCTTTTCCCCCCCTAGACCTCCTCCTCCCCTATCCCGCCCCCACCCCAAGCATTGTGGTCTATGTCCATTGGTTATGCATACATGCATATAAGTTCTTTGGTTTATCTCATCCCTCTCCCAGCCTCCTTCCTCTGAGGTTTGTCAGTCTGAACCATACTCCTTTCTATGTCTCTGGGTCTCAACCCCATTTTAGAGATAAGGAAACTAAGGGGCAGAGAACATTTTCATTTTCTAGCCTTTATTTTTTTTATATATATATTTTTTTATTTTTTATTTTTAATCCTCACCCGAGGACATTTTCCCATTTTTTTGTTCAGGTAGAGTGGGAGGGAGAGAGAGGAACAGAGAGAGAGAGAGAAACTTCGACGTGAAAGGAACACATCGAGTGGCCGCCACCCGCACGACCGACCAGGGCCGGGGACAAACTGCAACCGAGGTACATGCCCTTAGCGGGAACCGAACCCGGGTCTCTCCGGACCGCAGGCCGACGCTCTAACCGCTGAGCCAAACCGGCCAGGGCCATTTTCTAGCCTTTAAATTGTTGAGTCCTTGATTACACATCAGGAGCTGAGGTCAGATGGAAACCTTGACCACTTTCCTAACAATTAAAATGCATATCAAGGTAAATGATCTCCACAATGTATGTTAGTCAGTTAATACATACAGTGACGTACATAGAAGCTACAGACAGCAACCTACAGTTGTGTAAGATCAGACTCTATAGAGAAACTTCCTGGGGTCAAGCCTGATTTCATCATTACCAGTTGTGTGACCTTGTACAAATTCCTTTATCTCTTTTGGACCATTTACCTTAAGGGTTGTTGAGAAAATTACATGAGCAAAGATAATTAAAATACTTAGAGCAGTGTGTGGCATAAAGTGGGCACTCAGTTAATGGCAGGTGCCTGCCCTGGTACCCATGCTTTAGCCAGGTTCCAGTACGGAGGGCTTACTTGATATCAAGTGCTGGGCTGAGGAACATAAAAAGCATTCATCTTGAGGGTGGTCTCCTGGAATCCTCACATCGTCCTGCACGGCAATCATTCTTTGTAAGTCAGGGAGCTGAAGCTCCAAAACTACCCAGATGTCACCCATCCAGTTAAGGGGCAAGGTTGAAATCCAAACCCTGCTTTGTGTGCTTTCAATACCTGGGCTCAGTAACAGCACAGAAGCTGGTGGTGTTAGTGCGCGGTCGGCGCTCTGGCAAGCCGGAGGCATGAGCGGCTCTTCCTGCTTGTAGGTGCTCTTCATGTACAGCAGATGTACGCACAGTATTCAGGTGAGAAACCTCCCCATACCTGTGCCCTCTGTTGACTGGACTGCCACGATTTCTAGTCTGCAAGACACTTTCCCATGGTATGGTTGACAGTGGTTTTGGAAATGACTCAACATAAATGCATTCTTGACATGGTCAGATGCTGGGGACATTGGGTCCTTCTTATTTCCAGTTGCAGAAAAACAAGAGGCTTTGCCAAACCAAAGCAGATCAAGCGATGGGGAAAATTTGCATTTGTGCCAGTTATGCTCTCTTAGCAATAAACAAGTGGTTTGATCGCCTTAAACTTTTTTTTTATATATGACTCAGTACCTGGGTGGGGATAACAAGCAGAGGGGTGTATGGGAGGGGGATTTTTACACCTGTCAGCAATACAGTAATGATCCTTGCTGATCCCTGAAGGCAAAATAGAAAATCTTTGCAAAAATGAGCAATGACAGGATTTCTCATTCCACAGTTCTGCGCCACCACACTCCACCCTGCACACACCCTGGTCTCTCCTTACCATAAAAAGGCCTCAAATTGTCCACCATGCAGGACATTATTCTTGCTCCTCCTTTCCCTCTTCTCCTACCTCTCACTCCCTCTGTCTTTCTCTTCCAGGAAGACATTCTTCAATGTCAGGAAGACATTCCTCAATGTCAGACCCTAGAGGTCATCTAACACTTTAGAATCAGGCAAATCTGAGTTTGAATTCTGGCTAGGAAACCTTATGAAAGTTAGTTAAACCCTCTATGTCTCCGTTATGGCATATGTAAAATGGGCTTACAAATAATACCTACCATAACCTGGTGTGAGGGTTGAACGAGCTACTGTTCTTAAGGTCCTTAGCTCAGAGCCTGGCACGTGGGCTGCGTACTCACAAAGTTTCTTGTTGCTATCATGTACTCCAACCTCTTCATTTTACAGACGAGGTAACTAGCATCAGAGAAAAGTGATTTCTCTGAGGTCATATGGACAGTTAGAGGCAGCCGATCCCAGTCCTCTTTCTACTGTACCACACACAGCATAGCCGATTTTCCTGCAGAAAATCTTCAAGCAGAATGAGGTCGGGACATTTTCCACTTGGTCCTGTTCACGCTGAGCTGGTAATGTTTTCAGAGCCGGGGCCGAGAGCATCCTGGACTGCTGGCTCCCTGTGATCAGCAGCCAGCTGAGCACAAAGGGGAAGCAGCTGCTCTTGTGCTACATCGGCACGGTCTCGGGGCTGTCGAGCCCTGATAAAGCTGATTTGCACAGAGCACTAAGCAACCGTCCTCTCATTACAAATTTATCTTTTGGAAGCTGAAGCTCTGGAAAAGAGAAGTTGATTGGATAGTGTTACCAACCAAAATTTTCAAACGTTTTGGAAACAGACAAATCTTTGTGTCCAACCCACATCCCAGAGAGTCTCTCTCTCTCTCCAAAGCTCTTCTCCCAGTGCTGAGAGACTAAATCATTGCCTATACTATGCCCCTCTTAGGCAAAATGGCTTCTGGTGCGTGACGTGACCGATGACATCTTAAGAAGCAAGTTGCTATCAGTGACGGCCAGTTCACTGAGATATAGTCTCCGGGTTCCTGGAGACCGTATATATATATCAAGCCCCCTTCCCCTTTTCTGGTGGGGAGATCCAACATCTTGCTGTTGCCCAGGACTGCTCCTGTCTGTAAGTTTCTTTAATAAACTTTGGTTTAATTCTGGGGTTGTCAGGCACTTTCTCCAGTGGCTCCGCCCTATATCCTTTGGAGATCGGTTCCAGGACACCTCGGAAATTTTTCACAACAGCCCTGTTTTTGCCCACATGGTACAGTTTTACCCCAAATGCTCCTCCCTTTCCCTTTCTTTTTTTTATCCTCATCTGAGGACATTTTTCCATTTTTTGTTCAGATAGAGTGGGAGGGAGAGAGAGGAAGAGAGAGAAACATCGATGTAAAAGGGACACATTGAGTGGCTGCCACCCTCACGACCAACCCGGGCCGGGGACAAACTGCAACCGAGGTACGCACCCTTAGTGGGAACCGAACCCGGGTCTCTCCGGACCGCAGGCCGACGCTCTAACCACTGAGCCAAACCGGCCAGGGCCCTTTCCCTTTTCTTAAAGGACACACACACACACACACAAACACACACACCATCACACATGTGCCCACAGGCTTTTGTTCCCTAGGGAAAGTATTTAAATTGTCCACAGCAATGTTTAATTCCATCATAGGAAGACCCAGTAACCTACAGCCAGGGCAGGTCCAGTTCCTGATGTTTCCAGAGAGAACAGAACCCATTAGTTCAGACAAATGTCCTCACGCTCCTGCCTCTATTCTTTCCAAAACCCAACCAGACCCTGGAGCTCCTCACAGACCGTCCAAGCTGTCTCTGCACCAGTCAGTAGCTAGGAGGCCCACAGCTGCCCAGACCAACCAGCTGTTTTTCAAGCCTGAGCCAGCCAAACCCTCTACATTTAGTAAACAGAGGTAAGGAGGACCTGGGGAGGGGCCTGCAAGATGGGAGAGAAGGGAGGGGTCATGTTATGCTCATTTCAACAGGTCAGTGATAGTGATGATAATTCCGCTGAAAGCTCACTGGGCTGGAAGTGAGGAGGCCTGAGTCCTAATCGTGGCTCTGCCACTAAATGAACCCCGTGCTCTTAGGCTGGTCACGGTGCCTCAGTGTTCTGTGTTCTGTGAGCAGGTTTGCCTTCATGGTCTGGAGGGAGTCTCCTAGCACAAGGTCTTTATAGTGACAATCTTCAAAATCTATAATGACACATTATAGTTGTTGTTTTTTTTAAAATTTTTTTCTTTATTGATTTCAGAGAGAGAGGAAGGGAGAGGGAGAGAGGGATAGAAACATCGATGAGAGAGATCATTGATGGGCTGCCTCCTGCATGCCCCACACTGGGGATCAGGCCCAAACCTGGGCAAATGCCCTGAATGAGAATTGAACCAGCGACCTCTTGGTGCATGGGTCAATGCTCAACCACTGAGCCACACCAGCCAGGTGACACGTTACAGTTTTTCAAGTCCTTCCACATACCTTATTTTATGTATTTAACCCTCCTTAAATCTCAACAATGTAGGTAGGGTATTTGGCAAATGAAATTAAGGTACCTATTGGTTGGGCAAACCATGGCCGAGCTGAGTGCTAAAATGAATTATTTCAACTTCCAGCCCCTGTGGCTCACGCTGTGACAGTCACAGCGTAGACTGTGTCCCCAAGGAAAGGTCAGAGAGGAGGACTCCTTGTAAGTGGGCAAATGCTAAAGAGAACCCTTGTTCTCTTAGGGTCAGGGGTCAAAAATCTGGGCTATTCCCCGAGCCCATTTGATGTCCTTTTAACATTTTTGGAGCCCAAGACGGGGTTCAACTCAACTCCAAACTCTAAGTTTCTTGGGCTTCAGAGATAGAAAGCAGAGCTGATCCAAACCCAGGTCCCCTACCTCCTAATCCAGAGCCCAAAATATTGTCACGCATGACAGCAATGTCGGCCTCTGCTGCCCTCACTCAGAGTGTCCCAGGAACTTGGGTTAGGGTTAGAGGCAGGTGTTTGTTCTGGTCCCCTCCATCTCAAGGAAATAAAGTCCACCCTCTGTGTAGTGGGTGGCATGTCCACAGAGATCAGCGCATGCGGAGGGGTCTCACATGCTGGGATAAGTAAGTGCTTTTACCTGCCACCCCCCAACCCCTGGCCTAAGTCCCACTGACAGACAGGATCCTGCTGCTCTTTGGCACGGTTATGGGCTAAAATGTGTCCCCCAAATTCATATGTTGAAGCCCTAACTCCCAGTACTTCAGAATGTGACTATATTTGGAGATGAGACCTTTTTTTATTTTTTATCCTCACCCAAGGACATTTTTGCATTTATCTTCAGATAGAGCGGGAGGGAGAAAGGGAGGAAGAAAGAGAGAAACATCGACATGAGAGAGACACATTGACTGGCTGCCACCCACACGACCCTAACCGGGGTCGGGGACAAACTGCAACTGAGGCACGTGCCCTTAGTGGGAACCGAACCCGGGACTCTCTGGTCCTCAGGCCAACGCTCTAACTGCTGAGCCAAACTGGCCAGGGCAAGGAGATGGGACCTTTAAAGAGGTGATTAAAGTTAAATGAGATCCTGTGTGTGGGTCCTAATCCAATATAACTGGTATCCTTTTAAGAAGAGGAAATCTGGACACAGACACGCACAGAGGGAAGACCGCGTGAGGACACAGGGAGGAGAAGGTGGCTCTTGACAAGCCCAGGAGAGAGGCCCCAGGAGAAACCAACCCTGCTGGCACCTTGATCTTGGACTTCTAGCTTCCAGAATCATGAGAAAATAAATTTCCGTTGTTTAAGCCACCCACCCAGTCTGGAGTATTTTGCATGGCAGTCCGAGTAAACTAATACAGGTCCCTGCTACAGAACCCCTCACCCTCAACATCTCCCTGCCCTCAAGGGCTGCCTGTGTTTTCTCCTCCGAACCTCCCCCTACCCTTAGCCCTGGATTCATCAAGTCCTTGGGATAAAACAACTGGCTCCATAATCCACAGACAAATCTTCCCACTTCAGGGGCTTTGGAGAGCTGGTTTCTGTTTGGAAGTGGACCAGGGACGTTAACTGCCCTTGGGGCTCCTAAGGGAGTGAGCAGCGAACAGGAAATACAGACAAAACAAGCTGATTAATATTGAGCTAGAAGCCTGCCCCACCAGTGACAGACAGATGAGCTTCCACCCCCCAGGAGTCTTCAGACAGACTCGTGGTAACAGTACAGTGGGTCCCACGCGTTCAGGGGCAAGGTGCTCCTTCAATCAATTAATATGGGGCTTCTTGAGATCAGGATGGATGCCAAAGATTCTTGGAGATGCTGAGCTTTGGACAACTCTCTTAGAGGGCACACAGATCCCCACGTTCCACCCCAGATTTCCCCTAGGAGCTGAGAGCTGGACGGGGAACGCCCATTACACACTCTGTGTTTGCTCTGGGCCTGGCCATTGACTCCAGGGGCCTTATCACTGTGTCCTCAGACTGGGCTAGGCACGTCTGCGTGAGGCGACCGGTCCCACTGCCCTGTGGTGCAGAAGAAAGGAGAGGCGGAGGGAAGGCCATGACAGAGTAAGAAGGAAGCCGCTGGCTGTACAATGAAAACATTCATTCTTCTGCTGCTGGTGCTCCCGGACCTGGCACCAGCCCAAGGACCACTCCACAGGTGAGGCCATGTCCCCAGCACTGTCCAGTCGGGGCTGTGCCCTGCTCCCGAGCTTAAGGCTCCCCTGGGAGAAGAAAGCTGATGGGGACATAGAGAGGTGGAGAAACTGAGGGCTCAGAAGAGGTTTACCAAGTGGCCACCGTGTGTTAGCCTTAGTCTCCATGACAGCCACCCCTTGCCTCCACCTCTGATGGGCTGCCTGCCGGAGCCCCAGGGGCCTTCTCATGGAAACAGCAGGGTGGTGCAGCTGTGATTTACAATTCAAAGGACACAAGTACTTCCCCAAGGGACTGACCACTGCCCCCAAGAGTTTTTCAGTCCCTTTAAATTAGCCCCTCATGAGGTTCATGTAAAAGTGCAGACCATCCCACATCCCCATCTTCCCAGATCTCGAGGAGCCCATCTCGGGGAGGGAGGGCCACTGCAAGTCTAAAAGTATGAGAGTCTAGTATGGACATTTTAATGATGTTAATTCTCCCAATCCATGAACAAGGTATGTGCTTCCACTTTTTTATATCTTCCTCTATTTCTTTTTTCAATGACCTGTAGTTTTCTGCAAATAGGTCTTTTATTTCTTTGGTTAAGTTTATTCCTAGGTATCTTAAATTTTTGGCGCGATGGTAAATGGGATTGTTTTTTTAGTTTCTCTTTCTATGAATTCATCATTGGTGTATAAGAATGCCGTCGATTTCTTGACGTTAATTTTGTATCCTGCTACTTTGCCAAATTCATTTATTAAGTCTGATACATTTTTGATAGTCTTTGGGGTTTTCTATGTATAATATCCTGTCATCTGCGAATAATGACAGTTTCACTTCCTCCTTTCCAGTTTGGATCTCTTTTATTTTTTCTTCCTGTGTGATTGCTGTGGCTAAGACTTCCAGTACTATGTTAAATAAGAGTGGTGAAAGTGGGCATCCTTGTCTTGTTCCTGTTCTTAAGGGAAATGCTTTTAATTTTTGCCCCTTGAGAATGATGTTGGCTGGTCTTTCATATATGGCCTTTATTATGTCGAGATATGATCCCTCTATTCTCCGATTGCTGAGCGTTTTTATCAGAAATAGGTGCTAGATTTTGTCAAATGCTTTTTGAGCGTCTATTGATATGATCATATGATTTTTATGTTTCATTTTGTTTATGTGGTGTATCACATTTATTGATTTGTGAATATTGTACCAGACTTGCATCCCTGGGATGAATCCCACTTGGTCATGGTGAATAATTTTTTTGATATATTGCTGGATTTGATTTGCTAGTATTTTGTTCAGGATTTTGGCGTCTATGTTCATCAGGGATATTGGCCTGTAGTTTTCTTTCTTTGTAGTGTCTTTATCTGGTTTTGGAATTAGAATTATGCTAGCCTCATAAAACAAGTTTGGAAGTCTTCCTTCTTGAATTTTTTGAAATAGTTTGACGATAATGGGTATTAGTTCTTTGAATGTTTGGTAAAATTCCCCCATGAAGCCATCTGGGCCTGGGGTTTTGTTTGCTGGGAGAGTCTTGATTACATCTTCAATTTCTTTTGTTGTTATTGGTTTGTTCAAGTTTTCTATCTCTTCCTGGTCCAGTTTTGGGGGACTATTTGTTTCTATAAATTTGTCCATTTTACTTAGATTGTCGAATTTGTTGCCGTATAATTGTTCATAATATTTGTTAACAATCCTTTGTATTTCTGTGGTGTCAGTATCACCTCACACCTGTCAGAATGGCCGCCATCAACAAATCACCAAACAACAAGTGCTGGCGAGGGTGTGGAGAAAAGGGGACTCTAGTACACTGCTGGTGGGAATGCAGACTGGTGCAGCCACTATGGGAAACACTATGGTGTTACCTCAAAAAGTTAAACATTGAACTGCCATTTGACCCAGTGATTCCACTTCTAGGAATATACCCTAAGAAGCCTGAAACACCAATCAGAAAGAATATATGTATCCCCCATGTTCATAGCAGCACTACCAATAGCTAAGATCTGGAAACAGCCCAAATGTCCATCAATAGACGAATGGATAAAAAAGCTGTGGTACATATTCACAATGGAGTACTATGCAGCTGTAAGAAAGAAAGATCTCTTATCCTTTGAGATGACATGGAGGGACCTGGAAAGTATTATCCTAAGTGAAACAAGCCAAACAGAGAAAGACAAGTATCATATGATCTCACTTATTTGTGGAATATAATGAACATAACAGTCTGAGGAATGGGGTAGTCCCAAAGATGTGGAAGTGGGGTACAGACTGACAATCCCCAGAAGAGGGGGTGGTAGGGGAGAGATAAACCACAGAACTTATATGCATGCATGCATGAACAATGGACATGGACAGCAAAGCTGGGGACAGGGTGGGAAGGGAGGGGGAGGGGGAATCAGTGGGGGGAAAAGGAGAAACATCTGTAACAAAAATAAATAAATTAATTAAAAAAATAAAATAAAATAAAAAAATAAAAGTATGAGAGTCTACAGGAGTAGACAGGAGGCTGGGCAGGCTGGGGCAGGGACACAGATTCTGGCTAAATCCTGGCATACTACCTTGCAGATCCCCTCCTGTGAATTTCCCTATTAACCTGGAAAAATGGGGTGGGGGGTGGAAGTCAGAGCGGGGCAGAAATGCATCTCTTCCTCACACGGGGCTTTGTCCTCAGGGTGCCCCTCAGGAGGCATCAGTCCCTCCGAAAGAAGCTACGAGCCCGGGGCCAGCTCTCCGAGTTCTGGAAATCCCAGAATTTGGACATGATCCAGTTCACCGAGACCTGCACAATGGACCAGAGTGTCAACGAGCCCCTCACCAACTACTTGGATGTGAGACATCGTGGGGCAGGGGCTGGGAGTGGGGACAGGGGAGGAGGGCTCAGCTTGGGCCATGGCTATTGGGCAGTTGCACTGAAGGCCAGTGTGGATTTCTCCTCCAGGCTGACCCGGATGGCCTGATCCTCTGGGTGCCTGTGGACTTGGCCCAATAACCCTCAGTGCACCTGAATGTGTGGACCTCTCTGGGAGGAAAGGGATGAGTAAGGCAGTCCCTCTGCCTTTCTCACAATGATTCACATAGTAATGAGAATCAGGATAATGATTTGATTTCCTCCCTCTCAGCCCTTTCTCTGCTCCTTTTACCTCTGATTGGTACTTCCCGGGGTCTACAAGCCCGTCTGTGCTAGCCCAGGCACTGGCCCCACAGAGCTCTTCCTGGGTCCCTTGCCCCTCCCCAGCACCCACACCCTGTTTCCTTCCCTCCCTTGCCTGCAGATGGAATACTTTGGTACCATCTCCATCGGCTCCCCACCGCAGAACTTCACCGTTATCTTTGATACCGGCTCCTCCAACCTCTGGGTCCCCTCAGTGTACTGCACCAGCTCAGCCTGCAGTAAGTGGGCCTGGAGCCCCAACAGGGACTAGCTGGAGGCCGGTCCTGGGACCCAAAGCCTGGCACTCTGCAGGAAGTGGTGGGGTTCCCGTAACTGGCCATCCTTGACAGCAGCCTCCTTTCTCCGTCTCTGGGTCTGCCCTGGGACAGCCTTCAGCAGAAACAGGCCTGGATCAGGAAGAAAGCTAAAATGTGTTTGCTAGCCAAGCTGACAACTTCCATACTGACCAGAATTAGTAGGGGGAAACTCCGTCACCAAAAAAATACAAAATTTTGAATAGGTGGTGACTCAGTGCCTATGGAACAACTAGAAGAATGTAGGGAGAAGTTCCATTCTAGTGGCTATTTCTGGGCAGGTAGGTGGGTCAGATTCCAGTGAAGACTGTTCACCTGCTTCAAAGAGGCTTGGTGACCCACCTGCCATTATACCAGAGGTGGGCTGGTGGGACACAATTGGTGAACCCCTGTACCCAGAGATAACTCAGAGGTCTTTGTGAATATTGGAAAAGGAAGAGCTAAGGACAGATGTCTTAGTCTATGCAGGACAAAGTTTAGAGACAGAATGTCTCAGGAAACCCAAGACTAGGTGTCCATGGGTTGGACAAGGAGTTGGGAGTGATTTCCTGGAATGGCCATTGTTTATCCCTGAGTTTCTTTTGAATGCCAGGCTCTGACCCACCGTGTTTGGCAGAGGCTGCTGCTGGTGCCTGATACCTGGCATTTTTTGGTGTGCATCATGAGCTCACAGGGACAACTATTTGGTCCCCTGTTAGCCCACTACATATGTCCAGAGGGGAATGCAGTAGCTCACTTGGAGGACCATGGCTGACCTTCCCGGAGGCGCCTGCTTATCATTGTGTCCTTGGACTTGTCTGGGCAGGTCTGAGTTAGGGAGATTTGGTTCCACTGCCCTGTGGGACAGAAGAAAGCAGTGGCAAGGTAGCTGAGGCAGAGTGAGGGCAAAGCTGCTGGCTGGGCCAAAGGCTGGAAGTTGAGGGGAGAAACCCTATACTTTAGGATGTCAGGGCAGGGATGAAGGATGAAGGATGAAGGCAACAGGCTGATGGCCGAGGCAAGAGCGGCATCCTTGCTTTCCAGAGACACATGCCAGGTTCAACCCTGCCCAGTCCAACACATACAGTGCAGTGGGGAGCCATTTCTACATTCAGTATGGGACCGGCAGCTTGTCTGGGATCATCGGGGCCGACCAAGTCACTGTGAGTATAATCCTTTCATTTTTTTCTCTCTTGGTCAGAACTTGGGAGATAGAACACTGTTCAGAGCCCTTAGGGGAGCAGTTTCAGGTCTGCCCCAGGAAGAGGTAAAAACAAGGAGCTGGCTTCTAGGGAAGGGGGGAGGCCTGGCCAGATGACAGCAGGCCTGTCTGCTCAGTGTGCTGGGTCCTAGAGAGGTGAAGGGGGACTGCAGCGGGAACACGGTGCACAGGGCTGAGAGCCGAGTGGCAGGGTTCACAGCTGGATCTCTGGCCCCAGGGGCACCAGGGAGACAGCACTAGGCCCCCATCTTGAAGGATAAAGATGTCCAAGCTGGGACTGAAGGTGGAAACTCAGTTGCTGAAATAAGACAACAAGGTAGGACTGGGAGTCCAATCAGGGAGACAAGCCAGAATCCTAGTTGTCAAAACAAGTTCAAGGTCAGCATTGAACTCCATACTGAGCTCATGAGCTGCTCCTTAAAATCCTTTGACCAAAGGTCCTGTGGGCCCAGAGCTGTGGGAACCTGACCATTGTAGGGACAGAGAACCAGGAGGGCCCTGGCCCTGCCCTGTCCGGGTGTATGGGCACTAGTACAGTAGTACCCCCTTATCCACAGTTTCCCTTTCTGTGGTTGTAGTTATCCTCAACCAACCACACAGTCAGAAAATATTAAATACAAATTTCTAAAAATGAACAATTCCTAAGTTTTAAACTGCGTGCTGATCTGAGTAGCTTGATATCTTACACCATGCCTCTCTGTCCCACCCAGGATGTGAATTGTTCCTTTGTCCAGTGTATCCACACTCTATATGCTCTGCCTATTAGTTACTTAGTAGCCAATTCAGTTATCAGCTCAGTTATCAAAGAGAGAGAACCCACATTTAAGTAACTTTTATTACCCTATATTGCTTTGTTCTATTTTATTATCAGTTATTGTTCATCTCCTACAGTGCCTAATTTATAAATTAAAGATCATAGGTATATATAGGGGGAAAGTATATATAGTGTTCAGTAGTATCCTCGATTTCAGGCATCCACTGGGGGCTTTGGAATGTTTACCCCTTGAATAAGGGGCGACTACTGTATACGCATAGTGGTAAATTCTTCCAAACATTTAAGGAAGAAGTAGCACCAACCTTATACAAATTCTCCTAGATAATTGATAAAGAAGGAACACTTCATAATTTATTTGTGAGGCCAACATAAATTTAACAACAAACTTGAGAAGGTCATTATAAGAAATAAAATTTGCATACCAATCTCTTTCCCATGAATGTAGATGCAAACGTTCTGAACAAAATGTTAGGAAATAAAATCCTGTGATGGAGGAAAGGATAAGGTATCCCACCCAAGTGTCCTTTTCCCCTAGGAATTTATCATCTAAGACAATAAAAGAAAAAAAAATCATATAATCTTCTCTATTAATAAAATTCAACATCTGTTCATGACTTTAAAAGCTCTTATAAAACTAGGAATATAAAGTAACTTCCTTAATCTGATAAAGAATAGACACAAAGAAGCCCACAGCAAACTTTAGACTTAATCACGATTTACTGAGACACTTCTCTCTGAGATCAAGAGTCAAGGATGTTTACTCTCAATGCAATAAGGCAATAACAAAAAAAAAAAGAAATTAAGAAAGATCTACTTAAATTGAAGCTAAACCATGCTTATAATTCAGTATTATAAATAGGTCACTTTTTCCCAGATTGATCTATAGAGTCAATGTTATCTCAATCCAAACAAGAACAACTATTATTAGAAATTGACAAGCTAACTCTAGAATTTATATAAATATGTAATACACAAAGACAATCTAGATGAAGAAAAATACTGCCAAATATTAAGACTTATTATAAAGCTGTAGTAATTTGATATGTGGTATTAGCACAGGATAGGCAAATAGACAATTGGAACAGAATAGAAAATTCATAGGCTACTCACACAGTCACCTGACTTAATATTGAATATGATACTGCAGTGAAGGAAATGATGGTGTCATTATTAAATGGTACTACGTCATCTGAATATCCATATAGCAAAGAAAAAATGAACCTTGACTCCTACTTCACACATTAAAGAACTTCTCATAGACTATAGATACGAATGTGGAAAGTAAAACAATAAAGCTTTTAGAAGAAAACATAGGAAAATATCTTTATGACCTTAATGTAGGCAAAAATTTCTGAAACAAGTTACAAAACTACTAATTAAAAAGAAAACAATTGATAAATTTGACTCTATTAAAATTCATATCTTAGGTTCATCCAAAAACATCATTAGGAGAGTAAAAACACCAGCCACAGTCTGGAGATGTTTGTAATACACATAGCCAACAAAGGACTTGATTCCAATCAATAAGAAATATGCAGACAACCAACCTCGCAGAAGAAGATATCCAATGTCCAATTTCCTCAGTCATCAGGAAATACAAATAACAACCAAAGGTACCCCTTGCATCTCACCAGAAGACTGAAACAGAAAAGAAGGCAGCATCCAGTGTTGGTGAAGATATGGAGCTACTGGCAACTGGAACTCTCTAAATATTAGTATTGAAAACATCAATTGGTACAAATCACTTTGGAAAATTCTGTCAATATTTATTCAATTCTGTCAGTATTTATGCTTACCCTATGATCTAACAGTTTTACTCCCAGGCATATAGCCAATGGAAATATGTACACATGTCTACCCAAGGACGCATACAAACAAGGACACATACATTATTAGCAATAGTCAAGTACAGGAAACAACCCAAATATCCATCATGGTAGAATGCATAAATAACGATGACATATTCATACTGTGCAATACAACGACAATGAATGAATTAGAACAGCATGCAACAAGCATAACGTTGAATGACGGAAGCCAGATACCAAAGAATTCATACTGTATGATTCCATTTATATAAAATTCAAAAATAAGCAAAGCTAAAATATGCTGTTAGAAACCAAGAGACTGGTCACTCTTGAGGAGAGGGGCAATAATCGAAGGGGCTTCTGGGGGATTGCAACTTCCTCTTTCTCAGCTTGGGAGCTTGCTCACGTGGGTGAACACAGTTAGTGGACACTCATTGAACTGCACACGTACAATTTCTGTATTATACTTCAATAAAAAAAAAATGTTTACATTAAAAAAAATTGAATGGGACTATGGCAAAAATTGTTGTGCTCATTAAATCAAGAAGAGTTGAGTCAGAGAAAAATTAGCTTCAGGACAGAGGGAGAATCCAGGAATCTGAGACCCTTTGCCAAAGATCTCCTGTGCAAGTTTCCTTTGGCTTTCTCCCCTCAGGTGGAAGGACTGACTGTGGTCGGCCAGCCATTTGGAGAGAGCGTCACGGAGCCTGGCCAGACCTTTGTAAACGCAGAGTTTGATGGAATTCTGGGCCTGGGATACCCCTCCTTGGCTGTTGGAGGGGTGACTCCAGTGTTCGACAACATGATGGCCCAGAACCTGGTGGATGTACCCATGTTTTCTGTCTATATGAGTAGGTAAGACCCATCAAACACGCCAGGCTGAGGTCAGTTATATCTCCAGGGAGACAACATGGTGCAGCTGAAAGAGAACTAGATGCAGCCATCACACACCTGGGTTGGCTCTCTTGTTTGTCCAGCTGTGTGATTTGGGGCAAAATACTTAACCTCTTTGACTATTGAGAAAATAGATTTGCCTCATAAAATCATTGTGAAGTCACTTTGTAAACTGTAGTATACTGGACTAATTTAAGAAATATCTGGAATTAGATATTTATTTATGCAGCAAATAAATACTTCTCAAGCCCCTATTATGTGCTTAGCATAATGCCAGGCACTGGAAACACAATGAAACAAGAAAGACAGTCCCCGTCCTCAAGTTTAACCCAGCTGGGGGAGGCAGGAAAACATTTTAAAGTAAGCTGACAGTAAAATAAATACATGTTAATGGATGGATAAAAAAACAAAACATGGTATATACTTGCAATATATTCAGCCTTAAAAAGAAAGGACATTCTAATACATGCTACAACCTGGATGAATCTTGAGGATGTTATGCTACATGAACCAAGCTTGTCACAAAAGGATCACTTGTATGATTTCACTTATATAAAGTACCTAGAGTGGACAAACTCGTAGAAATAGAAAGTAGAACGGTGGTTGCCAGGAATTGGGAGAAGGGAAATGAGAAATGATTGAATGGTTGTAGAGTTTGGTTTTATAGAATAAAAAGGTTCTAGAGACTGGTTGCACAGCAATGTACATTACGAAGCTGTACATTTAAAAATGATTAAGATGGGTCCTGGCCAGTGTGGCTCAGTTGGTTGGAGCATCATCCTGTGCACCAAAGAGTTTCGGGTTCGATTTCCAGTTAGGGCATATACCTGGGTTGGGAGTTCAATCCCTAGCCGAGAACATACAAGAGGCAACCAATTGATGTTTCTCTCTCACATCGATGTCTCTCTCTCTCTCTCTCTCTCTCTCTCTCTCTCTCTCTCTTATTTTCCTCTCCCTCTCCCTCTTCTTATCCCTCTCCCTTCCTCTTTCTCTGAAGTCAATAAAAACATATCCTTAGGTCAAGTGTTTTTTTTTTAAGCCAACTATTATTATTATTTTAAGATTAAGATGGTAACTGTTACATTATGTGTATTTTGGAAAAGGTCATAAGGCTCATCTGCCTCTGGGCACTCTTGCCTGGGGTCCTGGGAGGGTCATCTCACCTTCCTCCCCTTACAGGGAAGAAAACTTCTTACCTTTCTGACTCCTTCCCAGTGAGACCCAGCCTGAGCTTCCCTCATTTTTAGCATAAGCTCATTTCCTTTGTTTTCTCTCCCATGTGGAGCATCTTAAATGTCCTCTATCAAGTCTTCCTCTCCAGCATGGCCCAGGCAGAACTGTAAGTAGGAGGCTGTCTAGATTCCTGCCCTTCACCCTTTCAGAGGCTCCTGCTCCCTTCCAGCCTGGGAAGACGTGAGCTGTGATGGGAAATAGCCAATGTTTCGCAGTCAGACTGACCTAGATTTAAATCCTACCACTGACGTTGCCTCATCTCCCGGAGCCTGTTTCCTCAAATGGACACAAGGTTGGTGTGAGAACTGAACAAGATTAGGCAAGTAAAATTCCTAGCACAGTGCCTTGCATAAAGGCCATCAACAAACGTTGGCTCTTTCTCCCTTGCCTCTCTCAAATCATTTCCCACAGATATCCAGCTCCCGACTCCTTTATTACCTTGCCTTGCAATGCCCCAAGTTTTGTATTTTTCTGATCTTTTCCTACTGAAAGTGAATCAGTTTTATGTTCTATTTCTCCACAATCCTGTTAGGTGCCAGAACATAATATGAGAAATCACCGATAAAAATTAATAAATATTCAAGCACTAATAAGTCATGTTGGGTTCACATTAGCTTCTTTGCCTTAACACAAAAGACTGCATAATGTGGAAACAAACTCCAGGCACAACAACAGTGGAGAAGATACCTGGGGGAAAGGTGTCTTTGGGGGGTGCCTCCAGTCACATGGTGTGTGCACACCTCAGGTGGTAGATTCATGCATGACCAGACTCATTGTCCCCACTTCTCACCTCTGTACCTCATTTATCCAAGAAGCAGGAGGACATCCACAAGTCATTGAGCAGAGCTGTCTCTCTTCTTTTGCCCAAAAGGTCCAGACTAACCAACTCACGGTAGTTCGAAGTCCTGGTCTCGAAGCCCAGGCTTATATTTCTGCCTGTCTAGGTACTTGGTGTGAGTGATCAGACCAGAAGTCTGAAGCTCGTTCCTAGGGTTTTCCAGTGGTCCTTCCTTGGCAATCTGCCTTTCTCTCTCTGTAGTGACCCAGAAGGTGGTTCAGAGAGCGAGCTGATTTTTGGAGGCTATGATCACTCCCATTTCTCTGGGAGTCTGAATTGGGTCCCGGTCACCAAGCAAGGCTACTGGCAGATTGCACTGGACACGTGAGTAACCTTCACAAAGTATGGTATTGAGGGAAGAACTCATAACAAACACAACTCAAGTGGGATGAATTAAATTGACCCAAATGAAAGTGCTGGTGACTGGGAGAGGATGCCAGGAGCCTGCTGTGCGAGGCTAGCGGCGTGGTGGTGCTGAGGAGAGGTGCAGGAAGGAGCATCAGTAACCAGGGTAACAGGCACCTGGTACCAACTTTCAGCTTCCTTCCTTGTACAAGTGGTGTGCCTTCAACTCAACTGATGGTATATACAAACACTCAACCAGCTGCTTCTTGTTCACTCAACATTAATGAACACATAGACAAGGGCGGAGTGAGATGGGGGTGCAAAAGTGAATTGGACTCAGATTTTGCCTTCACAAAGGATGTAAAGAAGATGCGACGTACATACAAAAGACTGCCTGTAAAGTGGTCAGTGTTCCATGAGATGTGCCTCCAAAGTGGCCCAGCAGGCAAAGCAAGACAGCTTCTACCTGAAGAAATTCTCACGGGCTTCACAGAGGTGGCAGCATTGATTGAGCCTTCACACACATGCGCACACGCACACGCACACCTGAGCATGCAGCAGTTGGGGAAGTGGGACTAGACGCCTGACACATTCCTGGCTCTGTAGTAGACAATGTGGAAATTCAACAAAATGTAACTCGAGTGTCAATTCAGCCAGGAATAAGCACCTGCAAGGTTCACTGTCCATTGAGGGTTTCTCAAACCACAGGGATTTATCCATTTATGGATCATAACATCATTTTAGGGGATCATGACTTACATTTTTTAATGAAATAGAGTAAAATAGAAAAGAACAGAGTGCACATCACATATTAAGGTCAAACACTGTTTCATGAAATTTTTAGTGTGTGTGTGTGTGTGTGTGTGTGTGTGTGTGTGTACTGGGCCGGGAAGTAAACGTGTTTCCTGCTAGGATCTCAGTCAAAACATAAATTGAGAAACACTGATGCGGTGAGAGAGACTGAAATGGAAATCGTTAATGTGCCCCAGGTATCAGAGAGCCCAGCAGGGGGTGAGAGCTGCTGGGGAGCCAAGGGATGTTAGGGGCGAGGAAAAAGGGGACAAGGGGACAGGAAGAGAGGAGGCGAGGGACTGCTGCTACTTCCTTTGCCCTCAGAATCCAGGTGGGGGGCACCGTGATGTTCTGCTCAGAAGGCTGCCAGGCCATTGTGGACACGGGCACCTCCCTCATCACAGGCCCCTCGAATGAGATCAAGCAGCTGCAAAAGGCCATTGGCGCAGAGCCCATGGATGGAGAAGTGAGCACCTGCCTGGGAAGGGGAGAGGTAGGAGCAGGGGCCCTGGGCCTCTCTTGGGAGATGAGAGATTTCTAAATGGATGCTCTGTGTTGTGTTTTAGTATGCTGTGGAGTGTGACAATCTCAATGTCATGCCGGATGTCACCTTTACCATCAATGGAGTCCCCTATGCTCTTCAACCAACTGCCTACACCCTGCTGGTAAAATTGTTTTCTTATTTGGGCTAGTGAACACACAATACAATATATAGATGGTGTATTATAGAATTATACATCTGAAACCTATACAATTTTATTAGCCAACAAATACATTCAACCAAAAAAGGGGGGGGGGCACTCACATCTATACAATATACCAGAAAAGAAAAAGAGGAAGACTGATCCTCATTCTGCAAGTCACAGGGCCTTTCCCATATACCTGCCACTTCCCCTTTCCAACAGTCGCCCGCACTCAGGACACATTTACCCAAGTCCCCTCCCATCTTACCCTGCACTGAAGTGGCATTTCTTCTGCAAAGGACGCAGCCACCTATGTGTGGTGGAAAGACCACCGGGTGGTTCTCTAATTTCCTGTTCTGCCATGAAGTAGCAGCAGACCTGGAACAAGCCATTCAGTGAGGTTTTCCAAAACTGTCATTAACCACAACCACCAAACTCCTCTTAACCACCAAGTCAGACTGAGGATGTTGTTATCCTGTTTTGTAGACTGGGATTTTGAGACCCAGAGAGTTAATGGTTGTAGATATGAGTTGCTTGGGGGTGGGAGGTACAGAATAAGGTTATATCTCCACTAATATATGTTCAAGTTAACATTCTCCTCAAACCAGAAACTGCCTTGGTGTAGCAGATGCCCAAGTGTGAGGGTGAGGTAGAAAGGGAACTCCCAAGGGTCTGAGAAATCCATGACCACTTCATACCACAGTCGGCCCAGATTTTCAGTATCATAGCTCTTTGGTGACATACTTTAATGCACTAACTTTGCCCAAGAGTCGCCCACAGCATCAGGGTGACTGCACAGAACTGAGGTCTTTAGGGCTTTACCTGCCCCACACCTTGGTCTCCATTAACCCCTTCCCTAAGCCACCAGATATAAACATACAGTAAAAGTCAAAACAAATTCACTTTAAAACACAGCTTCATGTCAAGTTCTCTAAACTCTTCCAACAAAGGAATTCTGGAGCTGGCACTGTGAACTCCACACCGAGGACAAGCTAGACATTCCGACTGCCCAGTTCATCAGTCTGGACACCCATCACCACTCCAGCACCCCCACACCCCCACCTTCACCCTACATGAGTCCCTGCTCACCCCTGCCCCCTTTCCCGTACCCAATATGGTGCCAGCAGATTTCAATCAGAGCCACTCAACCTTTCTCAGATGCTGTAATACCTTTGCCTTTTTATCCCTTCCTCTTAAGAAGGCTCTTCAGTCCTCTGCAAATTTTCCCACTCCCTCATCAGCAGCATCGAACTTCAGGTGGTTGTTGGAAAGACCACCCCTGGCTGTTAGATCCAACTCTTTGCCAAACTATAAATGAAGGCTGGGGAGGTTACACTCTTCTCACAGAACAAGGGATGCCTTCTTGCCTTCTATGTAAAAGGAGCCACTCAAACAATTCTTCCCAGAACAGGAAAATAGCAGTGGCTAGCCCTTTATATAGAGCAATTGCTCTCCCTTAAAAAGAAATTGAGTTGGGCTTCTCTAGAAACTAAAGAAACCAGGATTTAAGTCAGGATGTTTTAATGCCAAGCCCTTCGCTCTTCCAGCCACGCATCAAGGTTTTGGTTTCCCCAACTGTAAAATGGTGTTGAGGGGTGGGGGCATGTAATAGGTGAACAATTCTCAAAATTGTAGAACGTAGAAGCCCAGGCCCACATCTATGACATTGTTCAAACACTTTATTGAATACATAGGTAGAGGTTTGTGATGTAGGAGGAAGAACCAGTCAACCCAAACTGTGAAGCAGCTGTCTCAGGCCGTTCAGTGTGGCCGTCACCACTACACAGTGTAGCTCCAGGACACACTACTTCCTTCTTGCCCTAATGCCACTTACATTCTTCTTTTCAACCCCAGGACTTTGTAGATGGAATGAAGTTCTGCCCCAGTGGCTTTCAAGGTCAGGACATCCCGCCTCCATCTGGGCCCCTCTGGATCCTGGGCGATGTCTTCATTAGACAGTTTTACTCCGTCTTTGACCGAGGGAATAACCGTGTGGGGCTGGCCCCAACTGTCCCCTAAATAGGGGCCTTGTGTCTGTGCCTGCCTGCCTAACTCCCTTTGGAAATACAGCTGGGCCTGTTAGGTTGGGGCATTATTCACACCTGTCAAAAAGTCATTTTCAATAAAATGCATGTTTCAGAACTGCCATTTGAATTAGGACCAAACATAGCTTGAGACCACACACATACACACACACACACACACACACACACACACACACCCTCACAGATTTTGATATACCCACCACCATCATGATAGAAGAATTAAGTTGTATGCCCATACCTTTTATTGCTTTTTGCTAACATTTTACTATGGAAATCTCCAAACATGTATAGAAGCAGATTATAGTGCAAAAAATCCCTGTGCACAACCCAACCGCACATGGCCAGGACTGTTTTATCTGCACCACCATCCACTCCTCTCTCCAGGCCCACATACTTGGATTATTTTGAGGCAAATTCTTAGCATCACATCATAAATCATCACACCAAGGATTTATCCACAAATCCTTCTAACTTCCTAAATGTGCAGTCAGTGTCCAAATGTTTGGTCATGTTTACAGTTGACTTGTTTGTATCAGGATTCCCAAGTCCACAAATTACACTCATTTGAAATGTCTCTTATCATCTGTAGAGTTGAGCACATTCTGAACTCTGCTGGTTGAAATCCAGAGGTGTCATGTAACGTGGTTCTCTGGGCTCATCTTTCCTATAAATTGGTGGTTAGATCAAGATGGTGCTGGGTACACCCCACTGTAACCCATCAGAAGACAGGTAATGCCTGGCACTCCTTATTCAGAGTGTTAGGACTGGTGAGAGGGTCCCGGAGTTCTTGGCCTCATCTATCCATTTATGATGAATTTCCCTTTGGTATTTTACTTCAAGGTTTTAGCAGCCATTGATGATCAGTGCTTAGATCCACATTGTCATTAAGGGATGCAAAACAGGGATTTAAAAAAAAATTCTGGTTTTCCTCTTGTACTTGTTAGCTGGGATTCTTCTATAAAAAATAACTCAAGCTCTGGCCAGTTTGGCTCAGCGGTTAGAGCGTTGGCCTGTGGACCAATGAGTCTTGGGTTCAATTCCACCCAAGGGCACATACCTTGGTTGTGGTTCGGCCCCCAGACCTGGTTGGGGTCATGTGGGAAGCAACCAGTCGATGTGTCTCTCTCACATCGATGTTTTTCTCTCTCCCTGCCATTCTATCTGAAGATAAATAGAAAAATATCCTCGGGTGAGGATTTAAACAAAATAAGAATAACTCAAAACTAAACAAAAACACCTCATTTACTCACAGACACAGAGAACAGACTGACGGTTGCCAGAGGGGACAGGGGTTGGGGGACTGGATGAAAGATGAAGGGCAAATTGATGTCACAAAATAGTCACAGGGATGAAAAATACAGCTTAGGGAATATAAGCAATATTGTTGTAATAACTATGCATGGTGCCAGGTGGGAATATAGGGGGGACACTCTGTAAAGTATATGATTATCGAGCCACTGTGCTGCACACCTGAAACTAATAGAAAATAATACTGAATGTAAACTAGAACTGAAAAATAAAAGGTTTGTTTTTGCCTTATTTTATTATTTATCAACTATTTGCTCACCATGAAGCACAGGTCATACAGAAAAGGCAGAATTCCACCCCCCCTTATACCAGTTTCCAAATAATGAGTTTTCAACTTATTGCAGTTTTTTTAATGCTCAAATCACCCTACCTTTATGTAGCCAGTGGGCCCCCTGAACTTTTGACTTCACACCACGCAAAGAGTTTTTCCAGGCCCATTTTCCAAGGAGCCCCGGTACCTTGTAATGCGTTCACACGTTTGTGGTAAATGGAGTATTTCATAGTATGGGGTGGGGTTGGAGGGAAAGAGATTGGGGGTCGGATTGCAGTCCACAGAGCGAGGCTCTGAATGAACCGCCCTCGGAGCGCTTGGGTCGGTCCGTCCCGAGGAAGCAGACATCTGGTATCCGGGTCTGAGGCCATCCCCACTCCGGTGCAACCTGCTGCCACCAGAAACAACGTGGCTTTTCTTTCTTTCATTTTGAAAAAAGCAACAATGAAAGAATCTTCTCCTCTTCTTATTATAAAACCTATGAAAGTCCTTCATGCTCCTCTCCCTCAGAGACCAGCATAGTCGACAGTTGCAGTTGTTTGATGCAGACCTGTTTTTGCCCACAGAAACAGAGATGGATGTTGGAAGAAAAGCTCGTTCGTTCTTCCAAAGCAGGACCCGTAGCCCACACACTCGTCTCTAAACCATTCCCCACTGAGCAGCAGGCTTCGAGTCAGTACAGACAGCTCGTCCCTTCTCGTATCCGTACGGTGTCCATTTATTTGTCAAAGCCTATCTTCATGAACCTTAAGTTGATTTGGGGTTTAGTTCAACCCAATCCAATAAACACTGAGTGTGTGCCTGTGCTGAGAGAGGCACTCTGAGCTCAGCGAGATGACGGTCGCTGGCTGTGGCTTTGGGCAACAGGGGTCACGGAAAACACACCAGGCTCACGGACAACCGAGATGCACATTTGGGCTCCGCCTCTCACTAAACTGGTGACATTGTCTAATGACTTCACATCGGTCAGATCCACCTCCCAGAGCTGCTGGGAAGAGTCAAAGGGCTGGCATCCTGTCCCCTTTGAGTATCCCAGTCAAAGTAGATCATGGCTAACGCGTGTACACACTTGTTTTGTTTTTACTTATTTTTTTTTTCACTGAATTGCTTTAAAAAAAAAAGATGTTTTATTGATTTTTACAGAGAGAAGAAGGGAGAGGGAGTGAGAGAGAGAAATATCAGTATGATAGTGATACACCGTTTGGCTGCCTGCTGCACGCCCCTACCAGGAACTGAGTCCACAACCCAATCATGTGTCCTGAGCAGGAATTGAACTGACAAACTGGACGATGGCCAACAAACTGAGCCACACCAATCAGGGCTGAATTATTGCTTTTAGATGTAATTGAGAACAGCCTGACCCAAATAAGCTCTCAAAGTGGTATCATAGAGTGGTTAACAACACGGGCTCTGGAGTCAGACAGGCTCCTGACACAAGTGTGAGACCTCTGCACCTCCGTTTCTCCATCTGCACAATGGACATGGTAATAATAACTACCTTGTGGGTTATTGGGAGGGGTTAATAACATGATGTATGTGTGTAAACATTTAACTAGTTTATATACTAGTGCTCGCCCAGGGACCTGACTGACCTACACTCCGCATATGCAAATCATAGAAAAGGCAAAAGCCCTGGAGTGAAGAGGCTTAATGACTTTTCCTCTAAAATAAAACACTCCAAGAACCAAGTAGGAGCCAACTGTTAGCATCCCTGCAGGCTTTCTCCCCGGGTGATTTCTGCAGGGCCTTCAGTCTCCCTGGTGTGTTGAATGTGCCGCCTGGTGCCAGGAGCTTGAGTAGTGGGGGCCTGGAGTAGGAAAGTGATACTTAAACCACATGCGCAGGCCCTGGCCGGTTTGGCTCAGCGGTTAGAGTGACGGCCCGCGGACCAGAGTCATAGGTTCAACTCTAGTCAAGGGCATGCACCTTGGTGTGGTTCGTCCCCGACCCTGGCTGGGGTCACATGGGAGGCAACCAATGGACGTGTATCTCTCACATCAATGTTTCTCTCTCTCTCCCTCTCTCACACTCTATATAAAAATCAATGGGCCCTGGCCAGTTTGGCTCAGCGGTTAGAGCGTCGGCATGCGGTCCGGAGAGACCCGGGTTCGGTTCCCGCTAAGGGCACGTACTTCGGTTGTGGTTTGTCCCCGGCCCTGGTTGGTTGTGCGGGTGGCAGCCACTCGATGTGTCCCTTCACGTCGATGTTTCTCTCTCTCTCTCCCTTCCTCTCTCTCCCTCCCACTCTATCTGTACAAAAAATGGAAAAATATCCTCGGGTGAGGATAAAAAAAAAAAAAAAAAAAAAATCAATGAAAAAAATATCCTCGGGTGAGGATTTAAAACACAAAACCACACGTGCAGGAAGTGAAAGCACACTCAGTCCCAGCCTGCCCTGACCCACTTCCACTCTGAGCACACTGGTCCCTCAAGGCAGAAGTGACGATTTCTGTCAGCATGAACTAACTCCCAACGGCTGCGTAAACCTACTTAGCCCTATTAGTTGCTGTGGGTTTTCCAAAATTTGTGATCTTCATATCAGTGGTGTTCGCCCTAATTTCCAGGTCCTTGTCCCATGACCCGCGTCTGATTCTAGCTAACCAACCTCTCAGGGATGGACCAAGAGCTTTGGCCAAGCTTCACTGTGCCATGGGGATTGCCCGAGGATGCTGTATCAGTTTCCCAGGGCCGCTGTAACCAAGTACCACAGATTGAGTGGCTTGAATCAACAGAAATTTATTGTTTCACAGTTCTGGAGGCGAAGGCCCAAGATCAAGGTGTCAACTGGGCTATTCTGGCTCTGAAACCAGTAGAGGAGAATTCCTCCTTGGCTCTTCCTAGCTCCTGGTGGTGCCCAGCAATCCTTGGTGTTCCTGGCCTCATAGCTACAACCCTTCAATCTGTGCCTCCATTGTCGCATGGTGTCCTGTGTGTCTGTCTCTGTCTCTATGTCTTTTCTCCTCTCTTGTAAGGTCATCATTACATTGAATTAAGGTCTACCCTACTCTAGTATGAGCTCATATTAACAAACTGCATCTTCAATGACACTATTTTCAAATAAGGTCATTCTGAAAAACTGGGGGTTAGGACTTCAACATATCTTTTGAGAGAGACACAATTCAACTAGCAGGTGCTTTGCTAACTAACTGCTCTTATATTTTAACTTTGGCTTCTTGAAGTCCTTTTAAAAGTTTTTTGATATTTTTTGTCTTCTCCTGCCCACCCCCTCACAAAAAAATCTGTGAATTAGACAGAACAGGTTGTATTGCCCAGTTTTTTAATAGGGAAATTGGAGTAAAAAACAATGAAACAGTTTGTTAAAAGTAGACGTGACCATAGAATCCATGTCTCTTGACACCTAATCCATAGTTTCTAATTCACACCCTTCCCCCAAGCCCAGATATTTGTCAGCTCAGGGTTTCTCAAATACCGGGATGGCAGGTAGATTCTAGTCAGTCCCCAGAGTAACATTTACTTTTAAAAATAAAGATGCAGCCCTGGCTGGTTTGGCTCAGTGGTTAGAGCGTTGGCCCTTGGACCAACAA